GAGAATGGTGGACCCGAATTGATCAAATTACCACAGTGTACACTAAAACATTTAATTCCACCGGAAGGGTATGTGTTTGCCTTCACCTTTCATGACAATTTGATTGTAAGTGAATACTTAAAGGAAAATAATATTGTATTAGGAAATACAGCTGAAGCTAGCCAATTACTTATTGAAAAGAGGAATAGAGAAAACGATTATATAAGCTTTGACGATTGCAGTAGCGCAAAAAAAATGAAAATTTTAAACTCCACTGCTATCAACTTACCTTCCAAACCAAGTGACTCAATACCAGCTGATACAATTATTAACATAAAAATTGATCAAAGCGCCTCAGCGTTGGATTTACCACTGGATACCGAAGGAAATTTCGAATCTGAAGCGGCAGGCGAGGATGTATCAATAGAAGCAGAAGAAGAAGGGGAATATGATTTCATCCAGATTGAAAATTATATAAGTGAGAATTCAGTTGAATTAGAAAGTGATAATATATTCAACCAGCAAAAATGTGATGAACTCTCTAAAGAACTGCAAGATAAAGATGTGAAATATGTTAAGAAAACAGAGGAATTGTTAGCACGAATTCGGGAGCTGGAGAAAGAGCTCGGGCAATCAAAAGAGGAGTTAAAGAAGAAAACAACAAGTTTAAGTAGAACAGAAATTGAGCTGGACAAAGCCACTACCGCATACCAAAATCTGTTGGAAAACTATGAAGAATTGGAAAATAAATATAAAAATGAGTTAGAGATCAACAAAAATACTTCGATGGAAAACAAACGCTTGCAGCAAGAAAAAGACCGTTTAAGTGAAAAATGCATGGAATATGAAAAACAAAAGAAGCTAAAGCAAAAGGAATCAGTAACCACTAGTCAGGCACCGTCATCGTCAATCGGCAAAGAGATCGCCATTGGCAATCGACGTTACTCTGGAGGACACAATAATATGCAAAACACGCCGTCAAAGGCACAACTATTTAACGGTATTAAAAAATACATATCATCATCTATGCTTGCATTGCTGCGCATGGAGATGTTCGGCGGTGCGGATCGCGAATGGAAACCCGACGAGCAACGTGTGGCCATGGACTTGCTGCAGCTTGGCGATGAAGTGTATAAATACATAAATGATGAGTGGCGTTTTCGCTTACCCGCTTTAGGTGAAGTCAGAGCATGGCTTGCAGACACTATAAATTCAATAGATGATGAAGAGGATCTATAATATTTAATTAGTTTTTATTATTGATATTATACAAGCGATTAAGTTTTTTATATAAAATAAAATAGGAATATTCATCGACGAAATATTAGTTCCAAAATGTTGTTGCATTATCTGCCAAGCTTGTTTCTATCGGACTATCCAAATTACAAATAATTGACGTGCTCTGTAATTAATAAATATTTATTGTTATTTACAAAAGGAATAGTATTAAAGACGTACAAAAGATACAGTGAATATGATTTTTAAATGCATAATAAATATTTTCATATAAATTTTTACTGTGTTTTACTTGAACAAGGCATAATAAGTAATGCAATGAAGTTTGCAAAAACCAGAAGTAAACGTCGGAGACTATATATAATGTATATATGTATATGTATGTATATATGTAAATGATCAGCGTGCCGAGCTGAGTCCATTTAGAGATGTTCGTCTGTCTTTATACGCGAACTAGTCCCTCAACTTTTGAGATATTGTCCTGAAGCCTTACACACGTTATTCTCTCCCCAAAAGATATAATTATTGTACAAAGCAACGCTGCAATCTGCGAACAAATTTTTTCAGGTCGGACCACAATAGCTTATAGCTGCTATACAAATTGAACGATCAAATTAAAGTTCTTGTATGAAAACAGTTTTTGGTTGTGAAGGGTGTTATATGTATGTAGCTTCGGTACAACTGAGCTTAACGTGATTTTTTGTTATTATTAACACTTCATAAATGCTTTAGTTTGTATACATACTATATATAACTGTTGTCTTTTTATTGATAAGAGAGACAGTATTATGAAGGGTAAATCAAAGCAAAAAACAATACACTCTGCTTTTTTTATCTTTATGTTTGGAGGACATTTATGTTAGAAGTACTCTTGTCCGATTATGCGATGGAGCCACTGTATGTATTTGTAAATTATGTACATATGTATATATGGTTTGAAACTTGCCTGCACTTCTGTAACACATATATTCTGCGTCGATGCATCACATATTCGCCCCGTCGGACAGCTGCCAGTCACATCAGTGGGCTTTGTTGCGCCAAAACAAAATGCAAAGGTGTTGCGACTCGTGCAGGCGAATACTTGATTTTCATTGCACAAACCACAACTAGACGTATCACCGCAGCTGGCCGAGGCACCATTGCTCTGAAAGCAAATATTAGGTAAATTCGAGCAGATGAGTCCATCAGCGCAATGAAACATCTGATCCGTTATGGGTACGGTACCTATGTATGTATTTTCATTAAAAAGAATTATTTAGTAAAAAAAAATCACTTATATTTGTAATTGTGTACCTCCATAGCATAGATAGAATGATGTTTCATTAATGCAAGCTGCGCTATTGCTCTGACAGACATTGCATCCTTGGCCGCTCACATACCAAACACTTATTGAAAGGATGCACAGCGTTTGCTGTGGTCGAAATTAAAAAAAAGTTAAATTATTATAACCGTAAAACGAGTATAACGGCGCCTGCTTACCAAAACTTCGCGTTTAATTTGCATTTTGTTAACGAATTTACTTGGCAATATCTTTCGCAGATAACTTCAGCGTGACTATTCTTTGAAAGTTCATGTCTCTATGCTTTTTATAAATTCCGCAATTCGCTAAGATTTAAGTAAATATTGTTTATGGCTTATGTATGTATGCTATATATGAGCACTGCTGGAGAATTAGTTCCAAAATGTGTCCATTTTCAAACAGCACTAGTCGGCATTGCAACATTTTAAGGGGTTACATGTGTTTTCTAGGGTATAAAAAAATTTAATATTTTATTAGAATTTTTAATGTTAATAGTGTATAACAAAGAAATTCTGAAATTTTTGAAAAAGAAATTTTAAACTCGGCCACTGCGGCGCCATTTCCGACGATCCCTCGGAAAAAAGATGCGGCCGCGTTAGCAGGCTAACTCCTTACAGGATCATCTAAAGTCAAAAAAAATCCTGACGTCGATTAGGCAGCTCATTTCGGTGCTGTTAAAAGTAGCTTAGAAATCCACAAAACGGTATTGGGTGTCGATATGTTTGCCGATGTTCTTCTCACGAATCTGACGTACTGTAAACATCTAGGTTATGATATTTACCAGACTGTACTAATCTAAAAATTGTAGTTTGCAGTCATAAAAACAAATGTTTTTTATTTTTTATAAAAATCAGTCGTTAAAAAAATTACACATACTTGTACATCATATTTACTGCTGGGTATCAACCTGCTATAACAAACTATCAGTATTCCAGCTAACATTGGCCGTATTAAGAAAAATCTTATGTTATCTTGTCTTAAAGTATATAATAAGTGAACAAATTTTGTACGAACCTATATACTACATATGTATCTAGTATGCAGGTTGATCTTGAACGAAAATATATATACATACATACAAACATATGTATATTTCCCTCATTTTTTGTTTGTTGTTACATTGCTTTTGTATCTTCGAAACGTGCTGTAGAGCCGTTATAGTTGATTTCCTTTTATAAAATAGATATTGGTTTAGAAATTTCTTTGGGTCATCCACAGACATTTTTTAATGTAAGAAAGCCCGGCGTAACGCAAAAGCGAAACCAAGTGAAAAGTGCTAATTCGAGTTCAAAAAACTTTTAATTTCAATGTCTGCTAAATGTGTTCAATCAACTTTGTAGTCTCTTCTGTTTTATGTGAGACGTTGTTCTTAATTTATAAGCTACTTTCTTGGTATGAATGTTCCTTGACCCAATAAAAAGTTCGAACTAATATGTAAATTAACATACAGTAAGGGGAGGCATCTGCGGATTCAAATTTTTAAAAAGGTGGGCTCGACCCATAATAAGTTTAATGAACTTTCTCTGACAGTAGTGACGATATAAAACACGTCTAAAAATTGTCGGCATTCATGCCAGTACTATCACAAAGACACTCGATGCTATTGACAGCGTGGTTAGCCACTCCTCGCCCAGCCCTGAAAGCACTATAAATGAGTTCAAGGATAGTACCGCCGTTCTGCTATCTGAGTGAATGGTCACTTCTCTGAAGGAGTCTGCACTCCGAAGCAGCAGATCAACTGCTACGTTAATGGCTGCAACATCGGTTTGAAAGCTGAGTCTGAAGTTGATAGATAGCTCTTGAAAGTAAAACCCTCCACCAACCTCTCCCCCAAGCTTTGACCCATCCGTAAATATGCTCACCGCCCCTCTCCACCAATGGCTTCTTATATATGGAACAGAGTTCGGTTTGGCGACTCTACAATCTACGCAATCCGGTATGAAGTCAACATGTGTGGGATATCCGAATGTTCAGATACGTGTTTTTTTTTAAATCCAGATTCTCTGAGTGTGATTGCAACTTTCGCAGCCACCGATGTCTACAGGTACTATATGCAAGATGGCGTTAAATGCCATAGTTGGTCTTATCTAGAGATCTCCACCACATAAAGACGCCATAGAATAAAATACCATGGTGCCATAGATCTAGTAGACCACTTTTGGTGATAGATGCCATCTTTCGTCATTGGCTCCTCTACATCAGTATAAAGCAATCGATGCCTTTTTGCTCGCTCTTCAATATTGCTTTTCCTGAGCTCTAGATATTTTACTGTACCTGCCGGATGTTTGCCATCTTGGATTGATGGCGAGACCACTTCCACCCGCCCGCTAAATATGTAAGATAATGCCAATATTTCCAAGTCCATAGATTACAATTTACGATTTTATGTAAGACTTTATACTAGAACTCATTCATCAGAAGCGTGAGTGTCTTATAAGTATTTACCTCACCTAAAGATACACTAATAAATAATAAATTTAAAGAATTGCACTTTTTCCATAAAGCTTTATTTGTATATTAGTACATATCATGTATGAGTGCACAAGCTATTTATTAAAAGTGTTTACTAAAAAAATTTATCGCTAAAAAAATCAAATTTGTATTCTTCAAGCTTGCTCACTTCATAATCATCTTATCGATCAATCATTGTGGACACTGTACACCACTAATGCATCTATTCTGCGCTACGCTGTAGAACAAACCGGCCTTACACTGCAGAACCATTGATATGTAGGAGGAGGCATCACGTTGACAATATATATATCTAAGGAAGACAAAAAATCGAAATCATGAGAAACAAATATATTTACATACATACATGTGTCTATACAAAAATATACTTAAGTTCGGATTTTTATAGATTTCTCCGCGCATAAGTTTTTGTGAATTTCGATAATTTTCCAGTAAAAAAAAACCGTAAAAAAAATTATTTATCTAGAACTACCTGGGTATGGCGGAAACATTGGATTTTTTAAGTGTGGGACACTTGTCCACTTACTTATTTGAAGCGTTATTCACAAGTATTACAAATGTAACGGGTTTTTCAGTAGGAGCGCGACAAAAGTTTAACGATAGGGACAGCAAACGACACCATATTTTTTCTCGCTCTTTTGACTTTTCTCTTCAGTAAAGCTTGGAATTTCATTATAGAAAGATATAAGATCCAACAACGAGTTGAAATTGTTAAAATGGTATTACCGCAATTCGGCATCAGTGGCCTCAACTTTAAGCGCGCTACGTTCAATTTTTGGTCGACATTATCGTCCTGTCTGATCAACAATTGAGAGTCTAGTGGGAAAATTTGCATCCACAGGCACAGAACAAAATGTTCCCGTGCCAGGGAGACAAAGAAGTGCCTGTAGTGTCGAGAATTTAGCTGCCGCTAGCGCATCAATTGAAGAAATCAGTCTCTCCCACAACGTTCTCTAGCTATGGGCATCTATGTGACATTGTTGTGGTGAATTTTGCAAAAAGATCTTGGCCTACATCCTTACAATATCAAATTGACGCAAGAACTGAAACCGCTTGACTACCAGAATGATGGTATGTTCGCGGATTGGGCTGAGCAACAACTTGAAAATAATCCGGATTTTCATCGGAAGATCATCTTCTGCGATTAGCCTCATTTCAGAGTCCAAAGTTTCACTTAAACCATTCAAAGTCAAGATAAGTATATTACATATCCTTTTATGCTAAAAGAAAACTGTATTCATTATGGTAACTAGAAATGCTGACCCAAACACAGTGAAAAGTGTCGGTAGTGAATTTTGTCTTGTTAAACTAGTTGTCTGTTGAATCGAACGCATTTTCATAACGTTGTTTTCACGAAAGTCGAGAGTTCACTGCGGTATGTAGATGCTACTTACGATTGGCAATTGTCTGGATTTTGTATTTGGAAATAAGATCCGGTTTTGCCCGAGCTTTCGCATAAACCCAATGCATTCACTGGTGTAGTTGGTGATGTTGATGCTGTAGTGGTGGCTTGGGTTACCGCATTTTCATTTGAACATGTGGACTTAAATTCAAACTGTAAATGAAAACGAAAGTTTTACAATCAATATGCATACATATAGAAAATTATATATTATAATCAGATATTATTCTCTATGTATAAACATATATAACCAGCAGGAAGTACATACTCGTCGTACTAGCTTCAGCATAAAATAAACTAGAATCAGTGCATTAGTTTCCAGGACAATTTCACACACATATATGTAGATATACAACAGTTTTCTATTATTTTTCAGTACATACTTACATAATCAAGCACAGCTTGCGGCGCACATACTTTTTTCAAATTTAATTCAGAAACCAATTCCTCACTACATACTTGATCTGTCGGACAAGCGAGGGGATTGGTAGGTACCAACGTTGTTGTACCTCTACATATACCGAATTGCGTTGTACTTAAGCAAATGAGCTGTCCATTTGTCTTGTCAGAACATGTGCTGCTACATGCTGTAGAATCTTCCTGACCTGCACAAACCGCTTTAATATTGACACCATCCGGGTACTGCTCACATATATTTATCGAATCCGTGCAGTATTTATTGTCTGGGCAAGTGTAGATTTCTTCATCAGACGGTGCCACTGCAAGGCCGAATTTTCGTTTAAATATGCATGGCCGAAATATAATATTTACATATATGTAACTGTTAAGTACTCACTTGTTGTCGCTTCAGAGCACATTTGGTAGGTGGTCTCATTTACGCATAGTGCGAAATTATCCATACAGACGCCACATTGCGATTGACTCGAGACTAATGTTGACGCCAACACCAAAGACAAACAAGTTGTTACTATCTGTGAAGAGAGAATATTAATACTTACTTATTTACCGAAATAGTTTGTACTAAAGGACCAACTATACATGAAATAGTTACTTAGTTGGGACAATCGAAAGTTTTTTAGAAAACGCCAATTCTCCCTAGCTTGATATCGCTATCGCTTCTTTTGACTTTCATCAGAACCTGCTGGCCTGGTTTAGTTATAAGTTAAGCAAAAGGCAAACCATATTCGATGGGAAAGGTATAAAAATCGCTCACCAGATCACTTGTGACACCACGCAAGGATTCATGTTATTCCTTTGCTTTGGGTAACCTTGATCAATGAGTTATTATTTCTACTCGACAAGAGAACTTCGCTGCATTTTGTCCAGAGACGAATCTTAATCGCACATCCCGGCTCATGAAAAGGGTCTTAGACAACTCTGCCAATTGGGCAGTGGGTCCCGGCCTTACTGTAAATGCGGAGAAAACAGAACTCTGTCTTTTTACAAAAAGGGCCCAATAGTAACGAGCTTCTTGTATTGTAAGCTATACGCAGAAGGAAGGTTCAAACTAAATTTCTACAATTCAGACCACCCAGCGGTCTTCTGCTTTAATCAGCAAGTCCATAAACTTTCTAGGGAATAGCCAAGCGGCAATACCAAGTTTCACTGCGTTAGATTATGCAGTAATATAGAGTTGAAAGGAAACTAAAAGGCAGGCGGGTTGGAGTGCTCGAGGGCAGTTGGGAACACAATTCCATAAGCTACCCCAGATCATTCAGCTCCTTCAGGGGTTGCTTGAAGCAATTGACCTTAGAGACAACAGCACAGGTCTTAAAACACTAGCAATGCAGGTTATTAAACAAAGTTACTTTGAGGTAGTGTTGGTGGTGGACAAACCAAAAAGCTTCGTCTTCTAGGCAATGGAATATGCTACTGAACACAGGACTGCTATTCTTACGATCCAACCTTCTCAAAAATTTACAAGTGGGTTCGGCGGAATGCAGAGCATGCGCGGAGTATGATAAGGCTGCAGCCGTATGAGACGATATATATTTTATGGATTCCAATGTTCTAACTTAAGAGACATTGGGCAGGAGAGTTGTAGACATTTACTAAATCAATTGAGTTGCAGGATAAGACTTAATTTGATTACTATTCGGAAGTACAATGGTCTAAGTGTGGTCTGTTACTCTAGTGCCTCCCTTGCAGTCAACTAACCATGTGCTCTCAGTCTGCGTGAGAATATTTGCATTGAGTACAGAAAGTCCTCACATTCACAAATTATGCGGATATCATTTATTATTGCTCATATTAATGTGAGAAATCTTCGGCAGTCTTCTCTGAGCTTAATCCATGGTGACAGAAAATATGTATACATAAAAAATGTCTTCGTAGTAACTCAAAATATCTCTAAGGCTTAACTTGATTTCAATGTAAAAATCTTCCACTTTATGTTTATGGATAGTATTCCGGAACGGTCCAGAGTTCATAAATTCAAATTCGCATGATAATCCAAAACTTTACAAAAGTGCTTGCTGCTAAGGAACCATCGTCGGGAAACGTCTTCAAACCAGTGAGTATATTCCTGACATGAAACCTGCTGAATCCCATAGCTCAAATAAAAAATATATTTTTTGGAAGAATGGGATATCAAAGGTGATTAACGTAGTATGTGTTTTTTAATGTGTTTTCTACAATCCTTAAAGATCGTGAGCCTTTACTCCGATCTGAACACTATTTCGACAATTTCTCATAAGCGTATTGAAATTCAAGTACTTAAAACTTCGGACATTTTTTCAATATTATTTCAGTTACGTGTGTTTATAACACCTGGACTTACTTTTCCAAACATTTTCGTATATAAAATTCGACTTTTAATAACTTTTCTCGTATATCAAATTTCTAGTTTAAGAACAAACACGGTGCGTCGTTTTAATTCACACTAGTAACTAGTAACTGCGAGGATTTATAGCAACATCCGCCTATTTATATCTGACAAATCATCCATAAAATTTCGTTCGACATTTATCTTTATTATCTGATGTATTTATTCAGCCGATTCGTTTAGATTACATTTATGCTTTGCTCATTATTCATACGTATATTTCTGATCTCTAAGTTAAAAACACTTACGAATGATAAAGTTTCAGTTGTTTGTGTAATATTATATATTTTGTATTATCTTTATATAAAGATCCTCAAGTAGTTCCATACATACTTAAGTATACATTTCTCGTCGGACACAAATGTTTACGCCACATAACGGTTGTTTGTTACGTCTTCAATGAATCGGAAATGGTTTGCGCAAAGGCACATGAAGGTGTGGTAATCTCAATAGATTGGGTGAAGTCGATTCGTGGAAGTCATATCATAGGTTTTATTGCATATTTAGTCGGAAGCTTAAAATTATATTAGCGTTCGGTAATAAAATTTCAAAAGTTTAAAAAAATTCCTGTTTCAAAATTTATCACTTTAATGTGACATTGCCCATCTTTAGGAGAAGTTTTACATCGTCAAAACTACTCAAACAATTTAACGTTTAGCTTAAAAATCAATTTTATCAGTGTAGACTAAAAGGTCGATCCTAACAGGAATATCATTTGAAGAGCTTAAAACGCCAGTCCGTTGTGGTAGCTATACGTCAAACATATTAAGTCATAGCATCATTACAAATAGATGAAGCGCTTTGAGCCTATCACAAATTTATTGAGATGGCTAATGTTATTTTAGGTGATGTCTTCTGGACTTCCGAAGACAAGACTGCCCAGATGTGTCCACCGCAGTCTTCAAAAGAAAAAGTACCTGGCTGTTTCAATCCCACCCGCATTCATACAACTTTGACAATTTGTGTCCTACAAGATTCCTAACCTTATCGCATGAATGCCCAGCAGTGTCCAGCCCTGCGACTGCCAAGAACTCTGCTAAGAGAAAGTAGTTCAGTCGATCTCCTGCGTTCAACTCTATGCCAAAAGGATCATGCAGTCGCACAGGAGCTGATCGTCGACCAGCGCCTGCTAAGCGCACGTCAAGTCAATTGGTACAACCCAAGAGCCTATTTGATCTTGAAATAGATAGTCCAAGCATCAACAAAGATTTTACACCAAAACATGGTTGCAGACATTGCCGTATTATTCACTCTGATCCAAGTGAGGTTTTACCTTAATGCAAGCTCCGCAATATGAGGATCTCCTTTCTTCCGATCAGTGCGACATATCCCAATAAAATCAGATCAGTGATTACAAACTAAAAATTGTATAAAATAAATTCCCTGATGAATATACCGATTTCCGGTAGTACTTTACGTATAAAAACTTCAATTTTCGATGTCATCCGAATTTATAGCACCTTACTAGTTCAATTAAAATTGCTTATGACTGTTTACCGCTGTCTGGTGTGGTCAAAGTTGTATTAAGTAGAGAACTTACGAAATATATATAATTAAATTATAATGTAAGATATTAAGCTTTTAGAAAGGCTCATAAAAGATAGTTAGGTAGACAGTTTGATATTTGCGTTAAAAATAACTAGTTAAACTACTTACTTATAGTTCATAAAATTTTTCGATCGATATATAGCACCCTTTTCTTGAGTATCCCAATACCGACCGCTCTGATAAAGAAAGGAAGTATTTCTGGTATTTTTGTCTAGGTCTTTCTACCTAGGCAAAGCACAAGTCTCGTCGCGCTAATACTATCGAAATATCTAGTAGAGTCAATATAGTATTAAATATCAGTTTTCGTACGTAAATGACGCAATCCCTTTTCATAGTTCCATTAAGCTTAGAGATTACTTAGTCGCTTATACCACCCTACCTTTTCTAACATCAAGTGTACCATCTGATCAAATCTGAGCCAAACTAGTTCATATAAACTGCAATCGCCCACCGAATTGATAAAAAATTTCTTTTCTTGACAACTCCTTTTTTATTAAGTCCGGCTACGGTATTAATGAAAATGATGCAAAAGTTTTTTGGAGAGTACATTTTGTAACGAGCACAAGTACTTGAGTTGCACAAATCACTCAGTAAAGGTGGTGAAGTCATTAAAAACTTGTCTCATGGAAGTCGTAAATTTACCCTTGTTAATCATGGAAAAAGGCCTGCATCTTTTGTAACAACGCCATCGAGTAGAGATTGCAAAATGGACTGTTGGACCTCAGATCAAATCGACAAGCGACAGCTTTGAAGTTGTAAGATCCATGTGGCACAAAGGAAAATCGCAGGAGATCCGGAGAACTCTGCACTCTCAGCAAGATCCACCTTTCGCTGGTTGTAAGAGCTCTGACTGGTCATTGTCCGATTGGGATTCATGCAGTAAGATTGAATATCCTACCGGATGCCAGCTGCATCAGCTGTTTGAGAGAAGGTAAGATAGAAATATCTCAACATTTTCTCCTGGAAGAACCTCCTTTATCAGGTCAAGATGAAAACACCTCGGATGTCTTACCTTTAGACTTCTAGGTGAAAAAGCGAAAATATAAATAAAACAGCTAAGCAGATTTGTGATAGGTCAGGGTCTTAATTAAATATTTTTGCTGATAGCTGATATCCAACTACAGACGCTTTTTCGTTCGTGTTGTAAATAACTGTCCAACTATGATCTCCTCCGCAAAGTTGGGGGATCAAGCATTTTAACCCAACCCAACCTAGAGGTCCCGGGAGAAATACTTGAGAACGTTGCTAAGGATCCTACATTCATCAAATGCATAATTACTGACAAGATAATGTTATAAATATAACGTCGAAACTGTCCAACACTCTAGCGAATGGAGCTCCAAGAGTGAGCGGAAACCGAAAAACCAAATTTCGCTGAAGGCACCGGAGACCATTTAAGTCGAGGCTTATAGCAAGTGTTTAGTAAATCGATTTAAGTCTTAAAATGACTGTATTATCTGAAAACGAATCTATTTTGAAGGTGATAGTAAAGATTTTTAGCAAAATGAATTTTTTTTAACAGGCAGGGTCTGTACACAAATATAAAAATTTATGACTAATACATTTTTATTCTTTCTGATAAGAGTTATTAGTTGACTTCAGAAGTCGCCTTGAATAAACTTTGGGCAAAGAGATAATATATTCCAACTGACAATAAGAAATAATAATCCCTTTTCCAGCGATAAGCGCCACGACAGTATTTGTTTATAACACTCATAAAAGTGCGTAAATCAACTTCTAAGAAAGCGCCGTAAATGCACAAATCTTACACAAATATTTTTACAACCAAACGTGCAGGTTGTTTTTTGCAAACATCTTCTAATATATTGTAGAATCTGGATACCGTTGATAATTTCCGTGTTAAAATCGCACAATCTCAACATAACCTAACATTAATAAAATCAGCACTCGGTTAGTAATTAAGAGTAATCTTACTTAAATATTTACAGTTAATGCAGCGGGTTGGCGAAAATCAGAATTGTTGCTGCAGGTGCTTTAGTAGTAAATAGTCTTATCATAAATTAATTTGGTACGGACTGGTTTACTTAAAACCTTGGGAGGAAATTATTTAACAAACACATGTGTAAAAAGACTGAAAACTTCAAGGTTTAAACAAAGTAATAGTTGGTAAGATATACAGGATGGCTCATGAGCAGGTTTTTTTTTATTTAAAGACTTCTTCTATACTGGCGTAGACACCGCTTACGCGGTTATATAATATATGTATAGTACATATACATATAACGATTCTGCTTCTTTATGAACCGAGCTGAGTCGCAAATGACTTCGTAAAAGACACGCAGGCAGCGAGTCAACTGGCCACACCGGGATAACTGGCAAGATGATTAACTGGCACTCCAGTAGTCGATTGTGCTTTTCGATTATAGAATCATAGTTTGAAATCCGGTACTAAAGCATCGTCATCATCCCTTTATCACTCCCTCTAAAATACATATAGTATTATTCAATTATTTGAAGATGAACACTTTTCGGCGCCAAGATCCACAGCGGCTAAGCTGTTGCTGTTGTGGGCCACCCTATATGTATACAATAATATTATTATATGATTTCTCATTGCTGTATTTTATTGGACATAATTGAAGACAAGTAAAGGCCTACAACCTGGGTCATTAAAAGCTTTAACATTTGCTTAAAGAGAAACAATGCATTGACGTAATTATATTAAATTACTTTATATTTCTAAAATGGTTAAGTGTTACCCGAAATTAATAAATATATGTATATTTTCATATATTTTCACGTTTTTTGATGGCAATAAAAAACCCTCAAAATAGGCTTCTGAGTCAATGCAAGTACGCCAACGTTTGATTCAATATATAGACTTCTATAGACTTCTTATAAACTTTGGCTGAGAAAGTTTTTTGTGGTTTCTGCTCTTTTATAATCTTCATTCGCTAGATTGTTGGACAGTTTCGAAATCCTGTTCATAAACCCAAGTCACGTCCCACTAAGGTTGCGTTTCATTAATGAGGTGTCTCCAGCAACGTTGTTAAGCATTAACCAAAATCTGTTTAGTCGATCCATAAGATATGTTCAGTTCCTCTGGAATCTCTTTGATGTCAACACGACAATTTTCAAGCTCTGTTTTTTCTACTTTTTCCATGATTAACAAAGGTAGATGAACGACGTCCATGAGGCAAGTTTTTAATGACTTCACGACCTTCATCAAATGATTTGTGTCATTAAAATACCTGTGTTCGTGATAGAAAAGTCTCCACAAAACTCTTCTGCAACATTTTAAATGATTCCGTGGCTGTAAAATTAGGGATTGTTTATCGATTTGGTTTGTGAACAGTGCTTAAATGACTTCAGACAAATTTAATCAGATTATTTAATTTAATTTAATCAAATTAATGAATTTGTCATTTTAACCGATTTCGATTTGTGAAAGCTTTTATTTTGGTAATATTATTTCGAGAATATTTATGTTCTTTTGTCGAGTCTACGGAGCCAATAAAAATTCGAACAAAATACGTAAGCCACTTGCCCA